ATCTATCCACAAGCTGTGCGAAACATGCTGGTGTGAACAACTGGTTTTTGACATCGCATAATGAGTCATGCACTTCGGCAATCGGGTTCCAGATCTTAGCCCTTGAATAATACTACATGTTGCCAACAACGGCTCGCTAACAGCCCCCATTTGTTCAACCACTCTCGGGGCCATACATTGTGACAGCTCTAGAAACAAGATGACTGGAGGGAACGATAATTTTAATGCCACATCCGTCAACATATCCCATTCAATACTGTCGTAGAATCCTTTCACATCCATGAGGCCGTGTCCGTGAGGGGTTCCCAGTGCCCCTGCAACTTCCTCTTGCAGAGTCCGATGGAACCCCTCGCGGAGTGACGCGTTGCCAGCGATAGCAGCGCCCCAATCAGCCTCCACTCGATTGCACCACTGTCGAACATGGCCCTCGCGAGTGAGCGACCACAATCGGCCCAAAAACGACATCAACCCGATCACGCGGTCGCCACTCACCTTCTTCGGCAGCAACTTTCCTATGATGAGCTGGGTCTGGCGCGGCCGCGCCAACGTCTGCTCTGCGGTGTTGAGCAGCCCCAGCGCCTCCGACGGCAACCTCTCAACGCCGATCGGGGTCATCCGATCTGCGCCAAGGCCAGTGTTGGCCTTCATGGCGGGTGCCGCTCTACGAATATCCCACTCCGTGATGGGCTCCATTGATTCCAATTCTGCAGCGGCCCGCGCTGTCTCAAAAGCCCGTTGCATGCGATCTTTATCAACTGGATGTGGAGCCCAGGGCTCCTGCCACCTCCGAGCCCTGGCGTCGATGACGTCCCTGGGGTGGACCGTGGCCCCGGAGCTCTCGGCCTCGAATAACTCCATCGGCGGCAGTGGGTCTTCTTTCATGCTGCGGTGCAGGGGGCCCACTGCCGCTTGCTTTACAACCCACTCTTGAAACTCAGACAGTGGCTCATGCACAACACGCTGTTGACCTCTACGTGCGATCCGACAAGCTTGACCACGATACGATTCCAGCACAGGATCGACGAGCGATGCTAGGTTGAGCAGCACCGTAGCCCACTTCTTGCCCCCCGCGTCACGAACAGGACGAAGAAGACGGTGGACCCCTGTAGGCCGAGCGTGCACGAGCTGGCGACAGATATGCTGAATGTTGTCTAACTCGCGAATCCCGTTCTTACGCTGCCGATGCTTCAAGGCTTGACCCAAAACCGTGGCCGCACGCTTCCACCAGCGCACCACTTGATCACGTAGCGGAGCCTGCCGTGACTTGGTGGACTGCCGAACCTCGCCAATAACAAATTTGCAACCTGTGCAGCGGCTGGGCCCTGATCGCTGCTCTATGCCGTGATGTTCCAATATAGACTGCTCAACACCACGGACCCACGCATAATACCATGCGCGAACGGAAGGAACTGGCTTGGGATTGAGCCAACATGTTACGGAGGAGCGAAACAGCGGGTGCATTTCTTCTTCCGCGCACGTCTGAAAGTAAGTGGATGACCGATTAGCACGCCAACATTCCTGAGACACGTAAAAATCAGGCTCCGAGCTGAGAGAAGGATCATCCAGGGTCGCTCTTTCGAGCTGACGGGGCGCACGATCGCTGAGGGGGGGGGGGGGGGGGCGACTCCGCCGGACAACCGAATTGGATCCTGACATTCAAGCTGCCACTCTGAAACTCGATCTGCACAGATGACTGCTCAACATTTTCCTTCTCACCGACCAAGGGCCCACTGGAATCAACAGCAGGAGGCTGGCCTGGCTGAGCAGACGAACAGAAACTGTTACAGAAATTCGGCTCGTGACTCCAGGGATCTTCTTCCTCGGGCCACTCATCAAATAAAGACTCGTCATCAGACGGGACTGCTGTGTCTTCCTCATGCCTACCCTGAACAACGCAATCACTGAACAATTCTGTGAAGAATCTTAGAGCGGCGCTCCGCGGCCGCGGCAGACTGGATGGCTCTCCCGGCTTTGGCAAGTGATGACTTGGACCCTTCCTGCGGCAACGCGCGGGGCCGCATCACTTGGGGAGGCGAGCAGGTGCCTCGAGACGACGAGTAACCAGCTGCTTGCCGCTGCTCCTGATCTTGAGTGCGATGCCCACATGCGGCCGCCATGGCACATCAAGTACAGCCTGACAATCCAAGATGCATGGCGCAATGGCCTCCGACATGACCGCATAGTCGATGGGCGAGCCCTCGGCGCCCATGTTGCAGGTGGAAGCGAATGGGAGCGCCATGACCTGCCCGTGCACACGCTGGAAAGCCCGACTCGTCGAGCTCGGACGGATTGAGGCTCCAGTCCCCGAGTGCTATCCATTGTAGTTGCAACATCTGCTATACAGCTCCCAAGCGCTGAAAACGAGCAAGGTTGCGCCCAGACATACCAATAGAACAGAACCCGTAGAACACGAACATGATGAAAGAGAAACCCTCGCAATGGACGACTGACCCCACAAAGCCATCCACAGCTCCAGACCCAGGGGCCTTGAGGGCATTCGCCTGAAGATCGCTCAGGCTGGTGACTTGGAGGTGCTTCTTGGCGAAGATGATCTCGCCTCCCTCAGTAGCTTTCTCGGCCATGACTGCCGACCGATGCTGCCCCGTGGACCGTGCAGCGTTGGCTATCATCCGACGATTGTGCTTGCGTGATCTGCTCTCGCTTTCGCATGCCCGACTCAGGTACATGAGTCTCAGCGCATCCCCACAGAGCGTGATGATCACAATGTTGAGTGATATACGTCCACACCTGACCCCCCAAGGTAGTGACGTTGGCATAGAATATGGAGAGGCTCTTGGAGGTGTCCTGAAAATCCTCGAGCTTCTCCTCAGACAGAACTGGCGCCTGGCCGCCGACCTTCGACGCGCTGGGTTCGCGGCCGGGCGCAACATGTCAAGCCGAGGTCGTGGCGGCATTGGCGCCAGTGGCGCCCGCAGTTGCTGCAGCCGCAGCCTCGGCAGCTGCGGACTTGGCCGCCGACAGCCTTGCCGCCTCAGCCTTCACGTTGGCGCCCTGGGCCGCCTGCTCCTCGCGCGAGCGCTCCTCAGCCGCCTCCTTACTTGCAGCCTCAGCGCCCGCGCCCTGGCTGGCGCCTCCCGCTGTCGACGCCGTCGGCCCAGGGGCCGCAGCCTGGACGACGCCGTCGGTTCCCTTGCGCTTCTTGGCCATGCGCGTGGTGATGGCCTCGCGGACCTGCGCCGCCTTGGCCAGCCACTCCTTGACCTCCCCTGACTTGGACGAGAAGGCCTTCTGCATGGAGGTGAGCTGCTCGTGGATGGTCTTCAACTCTTCCCGCTCTGACTCCTCCTACCTCGAGCCCCTCGACGCCCTGGAATATCGACTCATCCCAGGTGATCTCGAAGAGCTCGGTCGGCTTCTTCTCGCGCGCGGGGGCCTCGGGCGCCGCTGCAACCCCCTCAGCCCTGGCGAGCGACTCCACCGCGCCCTTCCGCGCGATCTCGGCCTTGGCAAGGACGACCGCCGCAGTCGCCTCCTTGCCCTCTGCGGTAGCCAGCGCGGTGCGCAGCCTCCGCACGTTGGCCACCGCCTGGTCGTGCTTGTGATTGGCGCCCCTCCAGGCCGAATCGGCCTTGGTCAGCGCAGCCGCAGCAGACGGCGGAGGCGCCGCCGCCTGCTCGAGCGCCGACAGGGACTCCACTCTCTGCTTGAGAAACTTCTTAAGCTCCTCGTCCTGGGCCATCTTCAGCGCCTCCATGAGGTGATCACGGACAGAATGAGGTCGTGCCCACGGCCTGGCCGACTCCTCAGCCTGCGACGCGGGCACCTGCTGCCTCTGCTGAGGCTCGACGTAGTCGCTGAAATGCACCCTGCGAGCTGCACGCTCGCGCGAAGCAGACCTCACCGACTGACTGCCCTTGGGCTTGTAGATGGTCACCTCACAAGCGCACTGCACACACTTGTTGTCCAATTTGCTGAGAATGTCGTTCCACTCGCGCCGCTTGCATTGGTCACAGCGAGACCAGCGACGGGGAGAGGCCGACCTCAGCGCCGGACGTACCATGGCTTGAACTCCTGCTTTGGTCAGCCGAGCGCTGCCCGATCGGGGAGCGGGGCCTCGGTGTGCCTCAAGCACCGTGCGCAGGTACAGGAGTCAGCTCAAGCAAGCTTGAGCCTACGTGGCTTGAGGGAGGAGGAGGAGGAGGAGGAGGAGGAGGAGGAGGAGGAGGAGGAGGAGGAGGAGGAGGAGGGAGGAGGAGGAGGAGGAGGAGGAGGGAGGAGGAGGAGGAGGGAGGAGGAGGAGGAGGAGGAGGAGGGAGGAGGAGGAGGGAGGAAGAGGAGGAGGAGGAGGAGGAGGAGGGAGGAGGGAGGAGGAGGGAGGAGGAGGAGGAGGAGGAGGAGGAGGAGCCCCATCGGCGCCGTGGGCGGCAAGAGCGACCCCCCCGACGACGTTGACTCAGGCCCAGGCTCAAGATCGGGGGGGGGGCAGAGGCGAGGCCTCGAGGGGGGAAGCGCTCCCCGTGTCAGGGTCGGTGCAGGTCTGATCCACTCGATTCGAAATTGGTTCGGGCTGGCCCGATCCGATTCGATTATGGCATTCTTTGGGCGCCCGAGTTATCCGGGGTACCTCGGGTCCGGGGTAACTCGGGTTCGGAATCCCGAAAAACGAACCCGAGTTAGCCCTGACCCGAGTTACCCCTGATGATTCGGGGCTCTGAATTCTGGTGGTCCGATGCGGCCCGATGCTTGCATGGCGCTGTTGTGCAGGCTGGCCCGGCCGATCCGAATCGATTTCTATTCCGTGCTGATGCATCCCGGTCCGACGCACATTCCGATTTGATATTGTTTCCCGACTCGATGTGGACTGAATTTGTTAGCGTCGTGAGTGTTCTCTTGCACGCTCATCGCATTAGCATCCCCCTGTTCAGGTGGACCCGCATGTAATTCGATTGATATTCACTGCGTCTGAACATTCTTTGCGCTTGAGGGGTGATCTTGCCCCTGTATGGTTGGCGCAAGTGTAGGAAAAGCCATAGCGCCAGGACGATTCAAAGAAGAAGGGAAATAACGATGCCGCGGCCGAGGTAGTCGTTTCAGACGAAGGCTCAGATTCAGACTCTGACGAGGATTCGAGCAGCAGCGAGGACAAGAAAAAGAAGAAGAAAGACAAGAAGAAGAAGGGCAAGAAAAAGAAAGATGCAAAGAAAGGCAAACAGGACAAGAAAGACAAGAAGGATAAGAAAGGCAAGAAGGACAAAAAGGATTGGCCCAAACTGTTGCGTTTGCAGGTCATTCCTGCGCACTGATCCACACTCTGCTGCCTTATGCCTTGAGCCCAAATTTCGTTAAAACATGTTCCAATGAGTTGTTTCATGTCGTTTCTGCACTATTCGATTGTGATATTTACCGTTCAGCACGTTGGGCGAGATTCGAATTCATGTGCCCAGGTGCGGAAGGTTGAACAATGTAATCAGCGGATTAAGCAGCGTTGGGTTGCACTCGCGGGTCCGTGGTCATTCTGCATACGTTCCCCAGACCAGCGTACCTTAGACGGTTACTTATGTCGAAATGGAGCTATTATCCTCTCTCCTACTCTTCCCTCCTATTCCGTTCTTCTCTCTAGGAGTCTCGTGTGTATTCGGGTTTCTGGGAGATGCGGCAAGCGGCGGGCGAGTGGCGAATCCCCAGCTGTTGGCCAGGAGGACGACATGAACACAGCGTAGACATGGCATTGTAACAATTGTGCAGTGTGGCATATCCACCGTTCCTCGTGCGCATGCGATGTTTTGATCATCCGTATCCATGCCCCTTGCTGCACCCCTGGGGCTACATGACATCAGCCCAGTGCGCTTGCATTCCCTATGTATTACGAAGTATACAGTATGTTATATCGGGGACGGCGAGGAAGAGGCGGAGGAGGAAGAGGTCGATGGTGGGGGGGGCAACTTCACGCGCAAGATGTCCGATCAGGCTTGCATGTGTGAAGCATGTTCTTCTGCACTTGAGATTTGAGAACTGGTGGGGCATCGAAGACGCCTGCGGCGAATCACCGCCGCCCCCTGCCTTTTGGAATCGCCCATGTGGCCGAGCGTTGTGGCAAGAGCTCTGCAAAGCTATCGGACCATGTGATCCCCCTAGCCGTTGTGGAGACCCTTCTGGGAACACGTGGGGGAGGATGGCGGGGAAGATCTGGAGGATGAGGAGGAGGAAGAAGGAGGGGGGCATCCTGGGAGCCTCTGGGTGCACTTTTGGCGCCTCCTGGGAGCTTCCTGGGAGCCTCTTGGAGATATCTTTGAGGCCTCCCTGGACCTCTTGCGGGGCTTCTCGGGGGCCCCTGGGCCGACTTGGGGTCCTCTTGGGGTGCTCCAGGGCCGTCTTGGAGGCCATCGTGGCCGTCTTGGAGGCCTCTTGGGCCGTCTTTGGGCACTCTTGGGGCCGTCTTGGGGGCCTCTTGGGCCGTTCTGGGGCCTTCTTGGGCGATCTTGGAGCGATCTTTGGGGGCTCTTGGGCCGTCGGAAGGCCGGAAGGCCGACAAGAAGCGAATGCCCAAATCCTTCAAACACATACGAACCTAACTGAATTAGCTTCTTCGGGCCTTCCTGGAGGCCCTCTTGGGGGCTCCTGGGCCGTCTTGGAGACATCTTGGGGGCCTCTTGGGCCGTCTGGGGCCATCTTAGAGCCAGCTTGGGCCGTCTTGATGGCCTCCTGGCGCGTCTGACGCCGTCGGAAGCCGTCTTGGGGGCCTCTCTGGGGCGACTTGGGGCCCTCTTGGGGTGTTCCAGGGCTTTCTTGGAGGCCATCTTGGGCGTCTTGGACGCCTCTTGGTCCGTCTTGGCCCTCTTTGGGACCGTCTCAGGGGCCTCTTCGGCCGTTCTGGGGCCATCTTGGAGGCGTCTTGGGCGATCTTGTGGCGATCTTTGCACGCCAGGCACCCCTGTGATGAATGAACAGGGGGCGGCGGATCGAAGACGCCTACGGCGAATCACAGCCGCCCCTCTGTCTTTTTGGAATCGCCCATGTGGCCGAGCGTTGTGGCAAGAGCTCTGTCAAGCTATCGGACACTGTGTCCCTAAGCCGTTGTGGAAACCCTTCGGGGAACACTTCGGGGAGGATGGCGGGGAAGATCAGGAGGAGTACCGGGGTCATTTCGATTCCTCCGAGCTGATTCGATTCGATTCCGATGGCTTCCAATTCCGATTCGATTCGACTTGGGATTGCGATTTGGATCCTGATTTCTCATTCGAGGCATACTAGCCTGCTGATTTCCTCCTTTTGTGCCGCGATTCGGCTGCCGATTTCCGCCGATCCGATTCATTTCGATCGCCGGTCCGACTGATCGATTCGATTTTGAGCCTCCCTGGGAGTAGGAGGAGGAGGAGGAGGAGGAGGAGGAGGAGGAGGAGGAGGAGGAGGGGGAGTTGGAGGAGTAGGAGGAGGAGGAGGAGGAGGAAGAGGAGGAGGAGGAGGTGGAGGAGGAGGAGGAGGAGGAGGAAGAATCTTGGGAGCCTCTGGGGGCACTCTTGGGGCCTCCCGGGAGCTTCCTGGGGGGCTCTTGGAGGCATCTTGGGGGCCTTTGGAGGTCTTGGGCGCCTGTCTCGGCCGACTTGGGGCCCTCTGGGGGTGCTCCAGGGCCCTCCTCGGGCCCTCTTGTGGGCCCTCTGGGCCGTTCTGGGGCCCTCTTGGGGCTGTCTTGGGGGGCCTCTTGGGCCGTTCTGGGGCAATATGGGAGGACTCTTGGGCGATTTTGGGGCGATCTCTGGGGGCTCTTGGGCCGTCTCGGACCGTCGGAAGGCCGAAAAGGCGCAAATGCTAACATCTTTCAAGGACCGTTGGACAACCAATCATTTTGGCATCTTTTGGCCCTCCTGGCGACCCTCTTGGGGAACACTTGGGCTGTCTTGGAGACCTCCTGGGGGCCTCTTGGGCCGTCTTGGGCCACCTTAGAGCCATCTTTCGCCGTCTCCATGGCCTCATGGCCCGTCCGACGCCGTCGGAAGCCGATTCGCGGGCCTCCCTCGGCGGCCGGCTCGGGGGGCCTCTGGGGTTGCTCCAGGGCCGTCTTGGAGGCCATCTTGGGCGTCTTTGAGGCATCTTGGGGCCCCAGAATTTTGGGGCCATCTGGGAGCCATCTTGGACGATCTTGGGGCGATCGTTGGGGCCTCTTGGGCCGTTCTGGGGCCGTCGGGGGGCCCGAAAAGGAGCAACTGAACCCGCAGCATCCTATAGAAACCTGAGGACAAGCAATGATTTTGGCCTCGTCGGGCCTTCGTGGAGGCCCTCTTGGGATCCTCTTGGGATCCTCTAGGGCCGTCTTGGAAGCCTCCTGGGAGCATCTTAGGCCGTCTGCCGTCATCTTGAGGCCTTTTTGGGCTTAGGTGCATCTTGGGCCGTCTTGGAAGAATGTTGAGGCCATCTTAGTTGGAGGCCATCATGGCCATCTTGGAGGCCATCATCTTGGGCCATCTTGGCGGTCTTGAAAGCCATCTTGAGCCGTCTTGGGAGAATTGTTGGGAGAATTCGGAGCCTTGCGATCCCTTCCGACTGGTCGGCGGGACGGGCCGACGCCCAGTGGGGGTTCTTTTGGACACAGAACCAAACACCAAACCAGTAGGGTCTAGCACGCCAGGCACCCATGTGGCAAGCCAACAGGGGGCGGCGGAGCTTGTGGCCTTCGGCCCATCCCGCCACCGTGCTTGGGTTGTGGGTTCGGGCCCTCTTGGGCCCGACAAGGTCACACGAGAAAAAGCGCCAAGCCCAAGGATATCTGCGAGAGAGGGGTCCGGGCCCCTTAAGGACTCCTTAGGAGTGAGGAGGCTTAGAGGATTGGACCCAGGACCCGAGGACACGCCCACTCCGTGCCCAGCGGCACGGTGGCGGATGTCGCGCGCAAGCCTCAAGTGGAAACGCAGATGTCCCAGTAGAGGCGTGTCGTCTCTATGGCTCAAGTGATGGCAGCGAAGTGCAAACTCGAGCGTATCGTCTGTGTTCCCCAATGTGCAACAATACAGTACCACTTGAGACATGTCGTCTGCATGCCTCAAGTGGTACAGATCAAGTGCCACTTCAGGCAAGTCGTCTGTATGCCTCACGTGGTGTCAGACCAGTACCACTTGAGGCATGACCTCTCTGCGCTTCAAGTGGTACCGACCAAGTCTCACTTGAGGCATGTCGGCCGTGTGCCTCAAGTGGTACCAGTCATGTACCGCTGGAGACAGCTTGAGACTTGTAATCTGTATGCCTCAAGGGGGACCTCGTGGGAGGCCTCTCGGGGGCCTCCTGGAGGCAGCTTTGCGGCCTCTTGGAGGCTGTTGGGGGAACTCTTGGGGACTCTTTGGGCCCATGTGGAGGCCTCTTCGGGCCTCTTGGGAGCTTCTTGGGGGCCCGAAGGGGCCTCCTAGAAGCCTCTAAAGGCGGAACGCTCGATTTGTCGGCTCGTGCTCCCAATCTGGAGCCTCTCTTGGGGCCCTCTTGGGCCCTCTTGGCCCGTCTTGGGCGGTTCTTGCGCCATTTTGGGGCCCGCTTGGGCTGTCTTGGGGCCCTTTGGCGGGCCTTTTGGGACGCTCTTGGGGGCCTCCTGGGCCGTCTTGGAGCGTGGGGAAGCCGACAAGGTGCGAACGCGAAAATCCATCAAATACCTACACTGGGGGCGCGCATCAAGAAACCATCTGCTTTTCGTCAGGGTACCCTGGGTTTCTTCGCTCCGCGCGCTGCGCGGTGACTTCCCGCAACAGTTGAAGAAGCTGCTGCGTTCAGGATGCTCAGGTTTTCACCTCGCGTGCGGGTTTTCAGTGTTGGGTTTCTTGCGAAGGTTCCTTGCGGCCGCGCCCGCAGTGTAAGCGACAGCAGTGATTTTGGCTCCCGGGGGCCCTCTTGGGAGGCCCCTCCGAGGTCTCTGGGGCCTCCGGGCCTCCTCCGGGGGCCACCTGCTCTCTCGGCGACCCGAGGCCGCCTTCGGCCGTCCTGGAGGCCTCTAAGCACCCCTCTGGGCCCGCTTGCGTGCCCCCTCATCCTCCATCCCCCTCCATCCTCCTCCTCCATCTTCCGCCTCCTCCTCCTCCTCCTCCTCCTCCTCCTCCTCCTCCTCCATCCCCTCCATCCTCTCCTCCTCCTCCTCCTCCTCCTCCTCCTCCTCCTCCTCCTCCTCCTCCTCCTCCTCTCTTGCCACTGAGACTGTGGCGATCATGACACTCATGACACTCCTCCTCCTCCTCCTCTCCCTCTTCCTCGCCCTCATCTTCCCTCCCCTCCTCGTCCTCTTCCTCCTCCGAGATGCGGGGCGTGCGCAAGGCGATTGCGATGGCGCTCGGGGCCCGAGAAGGTCACGCCGCAGGACGCGCCAGGTCCCGGGGCACGCGGGAGGGCCCGAGAGATGTGGCAATCTGGGGTTCCGGGCCCCCGAGAGACTCCTCGGGAGTGAAGGTTGCGGTCTAGCGGATGGGGCCCAGGCCCCGAGGCCGTGCCCAGCGGCACGGTGGCGGATCTCGTGTGATGAGCGTTTCGTGGCAAACCAGCGTTTGATGCGTCTCCGATTACACGCCGGTCGCTGAAAGTATGTACGTTTGGATTCCCAGATCCCAATCTACTTCAAGCGCCTTCCTACTTCAAGAATCGGCATGATTTGGTTGTGTTTTGTTATTCTCTGGGAGGGCCTGGACGCAATCCACTTTATCCGCCTTCCTGCTTCATGTTTCCACCTACTTCTTCCGACCGACGTGTATCCATGTGTTGATGCAAGTGCTGGCGCCTACGCTTATGAGTGCGACTACACCTGCGTGCACTTCAGCTAGGTTTGTGACGGTAAGCGTGGCTGAGCGCCGCATAGCTTAGCCCAGCGTTGCCCAGCCTAGCATGCATCGGATGTGTACATCATGTGTTAACTCAGTGGTGTTTTTCTCTGCAAATCGTGACTTTACGATATTACCAGCCTGCTGCTTGAGTTTGATTCCAGCTATTGGATGTTGCCCCTCCCCCCCCGCCATTCCCACCCCGCCGCAAGGAGAGGGAGCAGGGTGAGCTGATCAGCCAAACATCCTACACGATTGTTCATTCACGGCGAGCGGGGTCAGTGACTTGATTTTGCAGTGAGCAATTCTAGCACATGTCATTTGATTGATCAGTGGTGGTTGTCCTTGTGTGTTGTAACGTGTTGCTTTGTATATCCTCGTTGGTGGCATTAGCATTCGACCGAGGACAAGAAAGGCAAGAGCAAGAAAGACAAAAAGAAAAAAAAGGTGAAGGAGACGCTCAAGAAGAAAAAACAACTTGGAGAATTGGGGTCCTGCTCGAATCAGTTCGGAAAGTATGGTATTTACAAGCTGATGCCTTCTCCGCTGGCTGTGCCCGAGCTGACCCTTTCAGGCTGAGTTGTTCAGCCTTTTCGCCCTGCCCCGCCGCCCCGTCGTCTCACGGTTCAAGTGGGTGGCCGGGAATTGGACAGGCGATTTGTACTTTTCTTTTTTCTATTGTGTTGGGAAGGTCGAAGAACAGCAATTGCATAAGTACAGTCGACCCGCATAGTAAGGACGGGCAGCCTTCCCAAGGGTATCCTTGCATCGCCGCCCCCTCGGTCCATCCTTCGCCACGTTCGTTGGCCGCGCCCCGCTCGACGAGCTTCGAATTGGGCGTCCAAGGCCCTTGCGTCCTTATCGAGCATCCTTACTGCACGGGTTAACTGTATGCATTGTCGGAGGTCCGTGCGAATTTCGTGGGTTCGGCGTTGGCCCCCCTGGCGGCGCTTGCTGCACCACCCTGGTGCGCTCCGCGCTTCCAGGCAGGGGGGGCCGGCGCCGTTCCGAGAACCGAACATGCTGGTGCAGGTGCTGCTGCGCCTTGACAGGGAGGAGGGGCCTAGCTTTTGCCGCCTCCACTTCATCCAGCGTCTCCTCCTCTCCCGAGGCCTCTCATGGCGTTCAGAGAGTGGTGCAGGGGCTTTGCGGTGGAGTCCCCATCCCCCACCCTGGCCACGCCGATCCATGCAAGGGCAGGACGCGTGTGCTCCACCGAGTTGGCCAAGACTGGATGGTCGTCATCCATCACGTGTGTTGCACAGCCGTCGTTCGCCGTCGTCGTCGTCGTTCGTTCGCCGTGAGTTTTGCCGTCGTTCGCCGTCGTTCGTGCGCCCTGCCCTCCCCAGCCCCCTGGCCTGGAGCCTCGGGGTTCGGGGCCCCTTGCGCCCTGGCTCCCAAAAAGGTTTCAGGATGGTCCCAAGAGGCTCCACCTGCCTCAGCCTCCTAAGGATGGTCCCAAGAAGGCTCCCAGGATGGTCCCAAGAGGCTCCCAGGATGGTCCCAAGAGGCTCCCAGGATGGTCCTAAGGTTTAAGGATGGTCCCAAGAGGCTCCCAGGGATGGTTCCAAGAAGGTTTAAGGATGGCCCCGTCGCTCCCCCATGCAAGAGTCGGGGCCACGCGTGCCATCTGTTTGCTTTGATGCGCTGCAAACTGTCAACATGACGAGCGCGGATCTTGAAGGCAGAGGATTTCTTCAACAAGAAGGCAGAATTCTTAGTGTGGGCGATGGAAGTGAAGAAGGCGAATACCGATGCGATGGGGCAGATGCAGCAGAAGGATCTCTTCAAGGAGTACATGGAGGATTACAATACAGCGACCATGCCCTCCCAAAAATATGTGCGACGCCTTTCGGCCCTGACTACCCGACTCAGGCGTTGAGAAGCATTGCAGTTTCTCTCATTTCGGCGGCGGGCGAGGGGGGGGAAGTGAGAAGGAGAAGGTCTTCTCAGAAGGCGGCGGGGGACTTCTCAGAAGCCCTCGCGCCTTCTGAGAAGTTTGAAGTGTCTTCCCGGAAGGCTTCGGAAACTTCTCAGAAGGCCGGGGAACTTCGAGCCTTCTGAGAAGGCCCGCCCCTTCTCATTTCCCCCCCTCGCTCGCCGCCGACTCATGGGACCCCCATCGTGGCTCTGGAGGCGGTCTGGCGCTTTGAGGCGGCCGGGCTGCTCGAGGCAGCCCCTGGAGGGCTTGTGGAGAATGTCAGAGCTTCCCAGAAAAGGTAGTAGACGTTCCAGGAGGTCCCTTCCTCCTCCCTCCCCTCCTCCCCCGGCGCGCTTTTGCGCCCATGTCTTCGCATCAGAGGTTTGGTTGTGGATAGTTGGTCGTACTCGTTGATACTTCCTCGCGCTCAGGGCAAATGCCCCCGGGGGCGGTACGAGCTTCTGGCGTCGTAACACAGATTCATACATTGACCTTGCACGTGCTCTGTGGTGCCAACGGAAGACCGAAAGAAAGAAAGGAAGAAAGAGAGCCCCAAGACTTGACGACAACCCAATGGTTGCCCAAGATGCTGCCAATACTGCCTCAGATCCCCCCTCTTGGGTGTTCGGATGGGCACCTACTGGTCGGTCCTTGAGCGTGTGCCTGTGTTAGTGTCTGTGTCTGTGTCCGTGCCTGTGTCTGTGTGTACGCGTGCGTTTTGGATGTTCATTGTCAGCCTACCAAGTTGGGCGTTTCTCTTGCGCGCCCGCTCCTTCCAGCGCAGCCACCCACTCGCAGCGCCTTGTGCGGAATTCACGCTAGTCTGCGACCCATTCTAGCTCTCGCTACGATTACGTCACCTGGCGTCGAGAACAACGTGCGTTTAGGATTTACGGCGGAGAGGATCAATAGTTGTTCAGTGGATTATGAACTGGCCGAATGTACCATACAACTCTAGGCAGTGTCCGACTGCTGAGGTCAGTGAGCGACTCGCTCCCCACTCCACATCGTGAAATCTCCACATTACATCAGCACTCTACACCGTGCCAGAGACCAGCGTTCAGACATTTACCTACAACGCGCCTTCGTACTTCCAGGGTTGATGGCCTTCCTAATTTCTTCCTTTTCCGGGGCGGGTCGAAACCACACCTGCTCTTAAAACCCTCCTGACTCTAATTAATATGTGCACACGTTTTCCGAGGGACATGGTACGGCGTTTCGACGCGGTTCTATCGGGAGGCGTCTTTGGAGCGAGCCTGTGGCCTGCTTCCTCCCTCCCCCCTCCTCCCCCTCCTCTTCCTCCCCCTCCTCTTCCTCCCCCTCCTCCCTCCTTTTTCCTCCCCTCTCCCTCCCTCCTTCCTCCCTCTGGCGCTCAGGCTTCGCAATATCGGTCACTCGCCTGCAGCGCGGGCTGGCGGACTACAACCTGCAGGCCTGGGACACCAAGCAGTCGTACAAGCGGCAGAAGAGGGCGAAGAACAACGAGATGGACGACGCCGGCAAGGCTTGGAGGAGAAGGAAGAAGGAGAGCGGAGCAGGCTGGGAGGGAGGCAGGAATAAGGAGGAGGAGGAGGAGGAGGAGGAGGAGGAGGAGGAGGACCAGTGTACACCCAAGAGTCATCAACGATGTTGGAATCAAGCCTCCCTCCAAGCTCCCTCTTATAGGCCCCTACAACGGTTCATCTCCATTGAGGGAAGTGCCTCGTTGGAAGTCAACCGTTTGAAGATCTTGAAGCGTGCCGAAAAATTGCTCTCAGGATTTCAACGCCACGTGTCAACCTGACTGCTGCGTCTTGACGATCCGGAATCGTGCCAGAAAACCATTGTTGGGATTTCCACACCGCGAATCAACATGATTGTTGCACCCGCATAATCCTGAATTCTTCCAAAACGCCATCTCTGGTACGTCGATCATAGAAATCCGTGAAACTCTTGCAGATTTTTTTATGCACGCGGCGTTAAGGCGAGAGCCCCATTTTGAAAAGGAACCGCCCCCAATCCGTCAACCTTTTACGATTTGTTAAATACGAATGTGCGCGGCGCTAAAGCGAGAGCCACATTTTCAAAACGACACGCCCTCAATCCGTGAAGCTCTTGTAACGTTTTGAAAACGAATGTGGGCGGCGCTAGGGCGAGAGCCACATTTTGAAAACGACCCGCCATCAGTCGTGAAAAACTTGCACAATGTTTCAACGAATGTGCGCGGCGCTAAGGCGAGAGCCACATTTTGAAAAAACACCCGTCCTCAATCCGTGAAGCTCTTGCAAAGTTTTCAAACGAATGCATGCGGCACTAAGGCGAGAGCCGCATTTCGAAAACGACTCGCCCTCAATCCGTGAAGCTATTGCAAATGTTTAAACGAATATGGGCGGCGCTAAGGGGAGAGCCGCATTTTGAAAACGACCCGCCCTCAATCCTTGAAATTCTTTGCACATGTTTCAAACGAATGTGCGCGGCGCTAAGGGGAGAGCCACATTTGAAAACGACCCGCCCGCAATCCTTTCAACTCTTGCAAATTGTTTGGACGAATGTGCGCGCCGCTAAGGCGAAAGCCACAGTTTGAAAACGGCCCGCCCTCCATCTGTGAAGCTGTTGTCCCTTTCTACGTTTCAGAGTCATAAATGGTGAGGAAGTCTACGGCGAAACGCCCGGCCCGCCCTGAAATTTGGCTTCGGGATGCGACAGGGAGAAGTTCTTTATATAAGGAGAAGCAGTGGAGGAGGAGGAGGAGAGATGGAAGAGGAATAGGAGAGGAGAGGCGGAGGGATCAGGTTGCGGAAAGAAGTGGGAAGGTGCGAGGAAGAAAGGGGACAGGGGAGGGATGACGAAGCGGGGGGGGGGGGCAGGGAGGGAGCATGCAAGTGAGAGGGCTGGTGGGAGGTGGGAGGTGCTTCTCCTCGGGCAGGCACGGGGATGCCATGCTCCTCTCCCTCCTCGTGCCGGCCTCGTACCCAGTGTTTGTAATACTTGGATTGGCGTTGGAGGGTCTGCCTCCGCCTCCTCCTCCTCCTCCTCCTCCTCCTCCTCCTCCTCCCCTCCCCCTCCCCTCCTCCTTCTCCTCCTCCTCCTCCTCCTCCTCCTCCTCCTCCTCCTCCATTCCTTCTCCGAATGGGTAACCATCCCTGTCGCACCCCGAGGCCAGCTTTTAGGGCGGGCCGGGCGTTTCGCGTGAGACTTCCTCACCATTCATGATTCTGAAATTTAAGAAGTGACAGCAGTTTCCTAGATGGAAGGCGGGTTGTCTTCAAAATGTGGCTTTCGCCTCAGCGCCGCGCACGTTCGTCTTGACAATTTGCAAGAGCTTCACGGAGTGAGGGCGGGCCGTTTTCAAAATGGGGCTCTCGCTTTAGCGCCGCGCACATTCGTGTAAAAGTTTGCGAGGGCTTCACGGGTTGACGGCGGGTCGTTTTCAAAATGTGGTTCTCGCCTTGGCGCCGCGCACATTCGTTTTCAAGAGCTTCGCGGATTGAGGGCTTGTCGTTTGAAAATGTGGTTCTCGCTTTAACGCCGCGCACACTCGTTTTTTTGTTTTTGTTAAACTACAGGAGTTTCATTGATTGAGGGCGGGTCGTTTTCAAAATGTGGTTCTCGCCTTAGCGCCGCGCATTTTCGTTTTAACCAGATGCGAGAGCTTCACGGATTGAGGGCGGGCCGTTTTCAAGATGGGGTTCTCGCTTTAGCGCCGTGGCATTCTCTTCAAAAACTTGCAAGAGTTTCGCGGATTGAGGGCGGGCCGTTTTCGACATGTGTCTCTCGCCTTAGTGCCGTACACATTCTTGTAAACAAAGTGTAAGAGCTTCGCGGATTAAGGGCGGGTCGTTCTCAATATGTGGCTCTCGCCTTAGCGCCGCGCACAGTCGCTGAAACAGTTGCAAGAGTTTCACGGATTGAGAGCGGTTCCTTTTCAACATGTGGTTCTCGCTTGAGTTCCGCGCGCATTCGTTGTAAAATGTTGCAAGAGTCCCACGGATTCCCATGATCAGCGCACCAGAAATGGTGTTTTGGAAGGATTGAGGATCATGCGGGCGCAGCAGTTATGTTGATTCGCTGGGTTGGAGTCCCAAAAATGAGGTTCTGGCACGGTTCTGGATCGTCCAGACGCAGTAGTCAGGTTGATACGTGGCGTTGAAATCCTGAGAGCAATGTTCTGGCACGCTTCAGGATCTTCAAACTGTTGTTTTCCAGCGAGGCAGTTCCTCCAATGGAAATGGACCGTTGTAGGGCCTATGAAGAGGGAGCTTGGAGGGAGGGTTAATTCCAACATCGTTGATGACTCTTGGGTTTCCACTGGTCTTTCCTCCTCCTCCTCCTCCTCTCCTCCTCCTCCTCCTCCTCCTCCTCCTCCTCCTCCTCCTCTCTCATCTCTCATCCTCTCTCCTTTTTCTCCTTTTTCTCCTTTTTCTCCTCCTCCTCCTCCTCCTCCTCCTCCTCCTCCTCCTCCTCCTCCTCCTCTCTCCTCTCCTCCTCCTCTCTCTCCTCCTTCTCCTCTCTCTTTCTCTCGTTCTCTCTCTCTCTCTCTCTCTCTCTCTCTCTCTCTCTCTCTCTATATATATATAGATATATCTGCGTTTGCCTTCTGGGATGTCGCGTGCCGATCTCCACCGGAATGTATCGGCGATCGAGTCGGAATGGGGAGTGCCAGTGCTGTGGGCCTCCTGCCCTGCCTCGCCCGCCTCGTCTTTCGAGCGGGCACGCCTCTCCCTGGGCCGACGCTGCGCAGCTGCTTTCGGGCGCCCACCGGGCCCTGCCAGCAAGGCTGTGCCCGCAGCCTCCGCACGCCGCCTCGCTGGCGGGACCTCCGCCCCTCCGTCCATCCAGGGCCCCACGGAGGGGTATTGGCGGCGCGCCAAAGGGGGTAGGGGGAGGGGGGAAGGCTTCTTAGAAGCACCCTGCTTCTTAGAAGGCCTCGGCCTTACGTCTATAAAGAAGACCCGCGCCTTCAAAGAAGCAGGGGTGCTTCTAAGAAGCCTCCCCCCCTCCCCCTACCCCCCTCTGCGCGCCGCCAAGGGTAGCGGCTCGCTCTGGCGAGGCGCCCCGCCGCGAGCGGGCTCGGGCTGGGCGTGCCGCTCTGTGCGGTCGTGGGAGGGCGGTGGTGCAGCAGCCGGTGCGGGGGCGGTGCAGCGGCTGGACGCGGCGCTGAGGTCGAGCCTCAGCAGCGAGGACGGCGCCGCGTGTCAAGGTGCGCCTGGGAGCGTGTGCGCGCGAGCTCACCACCCACCAAGCCACCCCAACCCAACCCGAAGGCCCAAATGTATCTTCGATTTCCAGTGGGGGGGGTCGGGGAACATTGAAAAAACACATGGAACCCGCACCCCCCCCAACCCGAAATTCTGGTCAAATTCGGGTCTTCGGGTTGGGTTTGGGTGGTCTGGTAGGTAGTCACGAGCGTAGATGCTCCACGCTTGTACCGTGCCCGCCCGGGCAGCAGGAGGCCTGTCGAGCGTGTGGGTCAAGACGCTACGGTGAGGCGGTGCTGCCGTCATCGTCCCCGCGCGGGCCCGGTGGCCAGGCGCAGAGGGCCTCCGCCGTGCCCGACTCGAAGTGGGTGCGGATTCAGTCGCATCGCCGCCGCGGCTCTCGCGCGCCTCCCGCCCGGGGCGCGGGGCCGGCCCCGCCGGCGGGCCCGCGGGCGCGAGGCCGCCCTCGCCAGCTTCGACGACGAGGCCGCGAGGAGAGAGGAGATCAGGCGCCGCGCGCCTCCGCGCGGGGGCCCGGAGGGATCGGGGGGAACGGAGGAGGAGGAGGAGGAGGAGGAGGAGGAGGAGGAAGAGGAGGAGGAGGAGGAGGAGGAGGAGGAGGAGGAGGGCGCGAGTCTTCAGGCAGCCCTACAGGGGCCCTGGAAGCTCCAGGAGGCCTCAGGGTGCCCCAGGATGCTGCAGGAAGCAGCTGGAGGCACCAGGAGGCCGCCGGAAGCCTCAGAAGGCTGCAGGAGAGCCCAGGAGGCCCCAGGAAGGCCCTGGTGGGCCACAGGACATCCCAGGAGGCCCCAGCGGGCGCGGGAACTCGCGTTTGCTGACTTTCCTGGACGGGCCCGTCCTCTGGATCTTGGCGGTCCGGTTTCCGCGGGATGCCTGCAGCGGGGGGTCGCGTCACATTTCAGAATACGTCTCCTCATGTTTCTGATGGTCCCGTCAGGACAGCTCGAGTGTCCCAATCTTGACTCTCGCGCCGACCTGAACACCCACGACATCGAAAGCAGCTGTTTGATTGATACTCGCAGAAGACATGCGTAAACGTGATTTTTCGTAGGTCCGTGCGAGTTCCTCCAATCTGTGCCGGGCCCTCCTGGCGGCGCTTCCGGCGCCGCGCGCCACGGAGGGGGCCCAGCGCCGATCCGAGAAATGTTCGCCGACCTCCGACAGTGTCTCTGTCTATGAGGGCCGCAGGCCTTCCCTTTGTGATTGCTCCTGCTGCTGTCCCAGGGGCCCATGCCAGCGCGTGGGCACCGAGCAGCCCATTTCATTCGCGCAACGGATGTGGGCTCGGGCGTGCGCGCGCGTGCGGGCGTGCGTGCGTGCGTGCGTGCGTGCGTGCGTGTGTGTGTGTGTGTGTGTGTGTGGATGTGTGTGTGTGTGTGTGTGTGATGGGTGTGTGTGTGGTGTGTGTGTGTTTGAGCAGTCTCCACGCCTCGCTCCTCCGCAGCTTTTCTCCTGCCAGCGTTCGCACGATGTGGTCTCGTGTGTTCTTTTCCCAACCCCCTGCTGCTTTCCTCTCCTCTCCTAAGCAAACCGGGGCGCCCACTCGAGCTGGTAAAAAAAAGTGCTCGCCTCGCGCACCCCACTGCACTCGACTCGCCGTGCGCTGTCGCACCCCTCTGCTGCGCCAGGGGGGTGAAGACCGCCGAGCTCCGCCCGCCCGCCTGCGTACTCCCGCTCGCTACAGTGACGGCGTCCGCCC